TACGATGCAGTAGATCTGAACTGTTATTTATTCGTCACCTCCCCACACGTAATGACAGTGAAGCATGTCACATGTCTACTGCCAGTGCCAGACGCCTCTCTTTGATGAGGGTCGCACTGTGTTGCAACATACTCCTAAGTAAAGCAATTTCTACAAAGCGGTGCCAACGAGGCCTAACACAATCGCTAGTGCTTTGACTGGTTCACAAATGGAGATTTTCCTCGTGATGAAGTGAATGCGATGGCACTAGATTGATGGAAAAGCTTTATTGTGATCACCCTCATATTTGGAGGCAGAGTAATTGTGTAAATGCAACAAGTCAACAACGTGCTTCCAATCACTCACCCACATACAAAACGCCCGCTTTACTATTTCTTGCAGTCGCCGTTCACACTCAACCATCTCATTCTCTCATCACCTACTTAGGAGTATGTGCAAAATAAACACCGTGTTTTTCAACCTCTACCAAATACAATGCTGCAAAGTGACACTTTAATCCATTAAATTGAGCAACGACACTGAAAGAGGCTAACCAAGGCCGTTTATTTTCTAACACTACTGGATGCCTCTCTTTCGGATTTCCTGACACACCATTGGAATTTACCTTTCTGTGTGAATAAAAGCCCCAGTCATGGCCTAAGAGAAGGCTACCTGATAAAAAACCTTAAAATGCTTTCTTCGACATAGAGTAAGGCAAATTTGCTTTTACTTCCATCAAATTAATGCATGTGTTTTGCTTACGCAGGCAGCGACATTTTGGAATTCCATTGGAATATGTGAATCATTGGGATAGACGGGGTGTGAGACAAGAATGGAGAAGAAGATAAAAACCAGTCCAAGTTACCAACACCTTGCGAGCAGGTGGTTACATTCTGCTTGTTTCACCAATCCTTCCGCTGCACAGCAGCATTGTCCACATTTAGACCAAAATCATTCTAGAAAGAGCCTGCCTCTTTTGCTTTTTCATTGCGAGACGCAAACCATAAATCTATTTACTGGTTAGACACGTGTCTCCTACCACAATG